TGACATAAAGTTCTGCAAATTGCTCAGGGAGCTCATTGTCTCAGTGTGATGTATTCGTCAGTAACTCTCTATCTGTTATATTCTTTAAAACATAATTTGTGTAAAAGTACTTTTGGGAAATAATTACTTCAGTGTTCTCCAGGCCCTTTCTTACAAGCTCCCTTTCGTGCATGGAGTTCATAATTATTAATGCCTAGTTATCTGTTTCACTCTTGGTTACATCAGCATTTTCCTAGTTGCATATGATGATTATATGAATATATTTTCATGCACTGAGTGTTCAAAACTGTTATGTATACCCCCATAATCCAAGAGTAGACCTAATAGTGGTTCAGTGAGACCAGGAGTCAGCTGTCATTGGATCTAAGGGGGGTATTTCTACTGACACCAGGGGGAGCTGGGTCTGGCCTTGGACCAGTCTTGTAACTCACCTTGGGTAGGAAAAAATTCAAAGTACTGATATCATAAAGTTGATGGTGGTTGCCAAACCTTTCATTTGGGATTTAAAAAATAATGATAAAATAATAATAAAAAATAAAGCTGAGTGCAAATAGCATCGATTACATGCTTGCTGACTTCACAAATTATTTAAGAACTAATTGGTCAGAACAGACCAGCTGTACCAAGTTAGTCCTAGAAGGGTTTGTCAGCCAACTCGCTCTTTCTGCTTTCGTGTTTCAGGTGAATCTCTGTAGCTCTTACTTGTTGCTGAGACGGGCGGTGGTTGCTTGTCTGCGTCAGCTCGTGCAGAGAGAAGCTGCCGAGGTGTCCGAATACGCTGTTGCTTTAGTCAAAGAGAGCCGAGAAGATTTTACTCCAGGTAACGTGGGAATTTTGAGATCTGCCACATTGCTAGGGGTTTCTAAACATGCTCTACTACTGGTACGAAAATCAATTTGGCGGGTTTTTTTCTTTTTTTCTTTTTTCTTTTTTTTTTTTTTGGCTTTTGCTCAAAAAAAATATTTTTCTATATGATGCCCAATTTGGAAGTATCAAAACTTTTTAAAAACATTTTTACTATACATAGTATAGTACTATACGTAGCATACGTAGTAAGAGTCACTAAATCAGAAAATTGAGATGTAGTTCTAGAGTAACCCAAGCCTATTTAGCCACTGTCTATTATGGTTACTCCTTCATAGTCCTGGATTTTACATTGTAGGTTCGTAATTAATTTTATTTTGGTGCATAAATTTCCTCTTAAATTAAAAATCTGTCCTTTGATGGAAGGTGCACAGAACTTGCTAAAGAAAGTTTCTGTTGACCTCTCTGGAGACCTGGCCAAGGGGAGAGGCCCTGAGGTGGGGCCCTGGCGTTTTCAACCTCCTGAAGTTGTGGAGGGAGTTTGCTTGGTTTTGGCTGTGAGGCCCGAGTCTATTTGCTGGTTCATCCTTGTGTCTCCTCTTTTGAGATGATGGTGGTAACATCTGATTTCGCATTGAATTTCAGTTCAAAATCATTCAGAATTTTTCAGAGAAGATGGATTTTCAACTTTCTGTAAAAATGGTGACTTTTAAATTGTTAGGCAAAGAAAAATTGTTCATCTTTCATTTAAGAGGTTATTTCTGTGTCTCTGTTTCTATGCTGTGTGGGAGAATCATTTCAACTTCCCTTTCAAGTTTAACAATCTGTTAATCCCTTAACAGATTGTTTCAGAATTACCTTACAAGTCAGTGAACCCTTTCTGGGGGCTCAGGTGCTGTGGCATTGATGGTGTTATAAAATTCAGAGTAGGATTCTTTGGATTCTTTTGCTGTAGTGAAGATGCCTTCCTGTTGGCTCTTCAAAAATTAAAAGCTTGTCTACCCAGATGCTTTAGACATGACATTAAAGCAATTAATTAATTTTATTGGTTCAGAAGTAGTGCAGGGCTCTGTCCTTCTTGTTAACAAGATACAGTGTGCATAGTGTTTAATGGGAGTCTCTGCAGTGTTCAGTGCAGGTTTGTGTTGTCCGAGTCTCAATTCACAGGCTTTGTTCTTAGCAGATGTCAACATCAGAGAGATAGGCCTGGAAGGAGCATTGCTGGGCTTGCTGGACAAAGAAYTGGATCCAAGATTGTGCCAAGATATCAAAGAGACTCTGACTCATATGCTGACTTCCATGGCGGTTGAAAAGCTCTCCTTTTGGCTGAAGCTGTGTAAAGATGTTCTTGCTGCATCAGCTGGTAAGTGCTAGAGACGCGACTTGAATGCACTGAAAGTAAGGCCAGCAAAAGCACAGTGAGGCAGACTTCTTTCTTGAATGTTAGGGATCTACGAAGTCTATCACGTTTGCATCTTGACCCATTAGTAACTAACTTTCTTCAGAAAAAGGGCGACTTCTTTCTCTTTTGAAGGCTGTTTCCTTATTGCGTTTTTTTTTTTTTTGTTTGTTTTTCTTTTTGTTTAAAAGAAACCCTTTTTCTGTTCATATTCTAGTAGATTTGAAGGCCTTATGTTAGCCTATTTGCATATCAAAAATCAAAATGCAAGTTRGATTAGAGCTTGTTACTCCTGCATGAGTGCCAACAAGAAAAGTACCCAGATCCTCTCTGCTGTTGATAGGAAAGATTCAGACCTGTTATATCATAATGAATCTTCTGAGCAGGTGGAAATAATTACTGTGGTGAATGTTGTGAGGTTTTTTGACTTGCTTAGCAGGAGGAAAATGTTTTGAAAAGCTAATATCTTCTGTTGTATCATACTTGTATCATACTCTATCATATAGACAGGATATGTTCTTGTTTTGTTTGTTTCTTCACTCTTTCATTGCATTCTTTCTTCTCCATTTATTTTCATGGTGTTGATCTTGTTTTTCCAGCAAGTAGTATCTAAGAAATGCGGATGGTGTAAGTTACATTTTATGTTTAATTCTGGCAGTGTTTTCAAGATGCAAAAACTGAAGAGAGTAATAGTGAGTTGAAGTCCCGAGAGCACTTCAAAGATTGTTTCCTATGAGTCCTTCTACAGTTTCTTAGTCACAGTATGTATATATATGTGTATATATATAAATAAATATATATGTTTCTTCATTTTTCCTCGTATAGATTTCAATACAGTAGCTTCAGTGGATACTACTCAAGAAGAGGAGACTGCTAAAGCAGACGATGCCTCAGTATTAACCTTGGCAAGTGATGAAAGGTCCCACCCTTTCAGTAATCCACGCTGGTCTACAAGAGTTTTTGCTGCCGAGTGTGTTTGTAAGATTATCAGCCAATGTGAGAATGCAGACAGTGCTCATTTTGACATAACTTTGGCTCAGGAAAGAAAACAACGTGATTCAAGAGGTATGGGTAAGACTTTGAAAGAAAGTCACAGAATACAAAGTTGCTTAAAATAAATGTTGTCATCTTAATGAAACTTCTTCATAAATTTACTTCTTTGCAACCACTGAAATAAATGTTCTGATTAGAAGTGTGTATTTATTAAGATGTAGAGCYGTTTTAATTAGCCAAAATATTGGCATAATAGTGCAGCACTTGCACTCACTTTCCTGGGTGTATGCATATGCATGAGAGCTGTTGTTTCTGCRTAAGCATCGGCAATCAAGAGTGATTGCTGGCACCTGCCTACAGCAACACAGCATCTGGACATTTGACAAAAGCTCTTTTTTTTTGCCTCTCCATAATTTGCATAATTACCAGTAGAAACACAGTGCCACTTTTCACTACCTCCGTGTCTGTGTTTGTCTGCTTCCTACCTAAAGGTATTTGTGCTGTTTTTCTTAATGTTTTGCRCTCAAAGGGAAAGATGCCCACATCAGCTGGTATAGGAGGTACAAGAGAGATCATTGTGTGTGTATACTGCCTGCAGGGAAACTTCCTTCCCCTGAAGGGGAAATCTTTCAAAACCTAGAATACTTATTTTGAGAGTGTTGGGAGTAATAATATAAAATAAATTATGATATCTATTTCCAATTTAACAAAACATTTTTTTTATTTCTCTGTTTTTCTTCAGATGACTTCTTGGTGTTGCATTTAGCTGACTTGATACGTATGGCTTTTATGGCTGCCACCGACCACAGCGATCAGCTTCGTCTTTCTGGACTGCAAACGTTGCTAATTGTTGTTCGGAAATTTGCAGCTGTCCCAGAACCTGAGTTTCCAGGACATGTAATTCTGGAGCAGTATCAAGCCAATGTAAGCACCACTGCTAATAAGTTGGAAAAATGTGAAGTGACAGTTACTTGCTAAGAGAAATTGGGTTTTTTTGCAGTAGCCTGTGCTGTTGTTGGGTTCTAGCTAGTTGTTGCTGTAACTGGTACTGATTACTTTCAATTTTAACTTGCTTAGAAGGCATTTTTTCAGGCAGTYAATTTTAGAACCAAAGTTTTTGAAGGCTGAGCATTTTTTCCCACTTCCTTATTTGAATATGGCTAAGAGAAAACAGAGCATGGTGGCTTTTTTTCTAGAAAGCATTGATTTCAGRGTGTGGGAGTATTGTAAAAATGCTTAGGAATAACAGACACTTCAAACTCTGCTTAGTAATAAGTAGCTTTTGCACACACAGTTATCACACATATTGAATAATGTTCTTGTAGATACTGACAGTCTCAGTGAAGATGGTGCCATCGCACTGGACATTCAATACATAGAATAAATGCCCATAGACAGAAAATAAAAAATACGTTGAATTTTCATCCCAAAGAGTGTCAGAGCTAAGTCTGAGTTTTCAGATATCATTTAAAGCAGTAAAGGAGCCTTTAGCAAAAATAGCCTTTAGGCATGAGAGCAGCTGAAATGCTGGACAAATGCTCAGTGGGGTTAGGTGTTCTGTGCTGGATRAAAGGGAACTTTCTTCTTCCCTTCTCTCACTTTGCCAAGTTGACCAACCTCAGCCATTTGTTTCCAGAAAGCTCTGTTCTTGAGGAAATGTCACTCGTTAGGTAGTTTGTAAGCCCTTTGTGGTTTTGAGTCCTACTCATTAAATCAACATTTCAGGCAAGAAGAGGTTTCTGTTTCAGTGTGCAGAACGAATAGAAATTCCTTTGAGGACTCCTCTCAAAGATAACCAAATCTTCTGTCTAAACAAAAGAAAACAATCTCACCAAACCAGCCTGACAAAACTGAAAAGGAAGATCTATGCCTAATAAAGTAAAACTGCTACATAGTCTGYTTGTGGTAAATAACTCATTATTATCTTGAATGATTTATAACTTTTCTTTAGGTTGGAGCAGCACTTAGGCCTGCATTTGCCCCAGAAACGCCCCCTGATGTCACAGCAAAAGCCTGTCAGGCAAGTGTTGAAAGTCGCTATTCCCAAGTCATTGACTTTTTTTTTTTTTCTTATTATGTCATATGAAATAATCATCAAGTCCTAAGTCGTTAATGCACACAACATGATGTCAAACATATTGCCTGCATTGGATAACATCTCAGCTTTCACGTACCTGAAAATCTTTTGAGAAACTTTGTAGCAGTTGATACTTCAGTGGTTAAAGATTTATGACACCTCTCTAAAGATTTGGGCTTTCATCACCCAGCACATACTGAACTGAATAATGCCATTTAACACTGGTTATAATCTGAGATATATTGAGTATATATTAGTAGAAATGAAATGTCCTTTATATCATTTGATAGTTGGAGAAAGAAGTAACCACTTGTTTTTTGGCTATTGTTTCTAACTAATCCTGTTTTTTGACACTAGGTGTGCAGTGCCTGGATAGCAAGTGGGGTAGTAAGTGACCTTAGTGACCTTCGAAGGGTTCACCAGTTGCTGGTGTCCTCTTTGGTCAAAGCACAGGCTGGAAAAGAAGCACAGAGTCAACAGTATAACGAAAGCACCTCAACTATGGAGATCCTGGCCGTGCTTAAGGCTTGGGCAGAGGTTAGTGTAATGCTCTGTAAAAAATAGTTTTGATATTTTTTAGGTGTGTGAGAACCTTTCAGATCAAGTATTTTCAGGAAATATGCTCCATTCAGTAGTTGCTTGTGCTTTCCTTTCCTTTGATTTCCCAAGTACTGCGTGAATACGATTCCTGCCTACATTAAACAATCAATGTAATAAATGAGATGGCTTGTGATCTTGAAAATGGCACAGCTGGTTCAATTGTTTACACTATAGTATAAATTGGGAAGGTATAGAGAGTTACAGAGATGTTCCACTGAACCTGCCCATTTCAAGTGTTCATCATGTATTGTCATTGTTTATTGGCATTGGCAGCTCACATGGATGCATGTTTTAATATGTGCAAATGCAAGGTTAAATATTAAGAATTAGCAGTGTAATACCTAGATGAAGTGTGATCCTGATTCCTGGACTTAAATTCTTACGTATTTCATGTTTCCAGCATTTGACGTGTTACACACCTAAGGGGTTTGTTTTTTCTTAAGCAACATTAGTTTGGGAGAGTGAGCCTTGGTCAGGTTGCATGCAGGTGGAATAATAAAGGAATAGAGTAAAAATTACTGAGATAACAAAAAATAGTATGTGTAAAGAACACTTTGTTAATATAACGCCATCTCAGTCTATGATATCCAAATTAGTGTCATTCTCACATTACACAAGGGTTTTCTTTGGACCTGCTACTTCTGTAAAACTTTAACCAGGAAATGGCTCCCTTGAATGCAGACTGAGGAATACGGTGAGACTTTGGACTGTGGTCATGAGTGTGATCGTCGCTATGTTTAAATTTCCTCAATATATTGAACTAAGTGTCTGTTGTCTTGGTCTCTTCCCAGTATCCCTGTTTGAAGCAGCTGATAATGAAACAACCCTTTCCCTTACCCCTTCCCTTTATCAGAGAGTCCTATTTTAGTCCAGACTGGAATAAAAGTAATGTTTTTGCAGTATTAAAAAGAAAGATGTAAATAAGATGACCTCAGTAATTCACAGGTATAACATGAATGATATCTTTGGAAAAGTAATAGTGGAACCGTTGATTAAAGGACTTGATGAAGAAAGAACTATAGATTTATGCAATGACAGGTTTGCATACGCTTGAAGAAAATAGATCTCATCAAACTAGCTTCCAGGAGTACATGCAGTGCTTGTCAAATGCTTGGGTTTGAGTGAGATCACTTGATCACTTTTCATAAAGTATGAAAAAAAGATTGAAATTGGTCTCAAGAAGTTCCATCAGGCATCTCATAGTTCTCAGATTGCAGTGTTAAAGATTGAAAGGTATGTACCTGTCAGATTTGATCTTAACACTAGAGAGTTTAACATTTTCAACAGTGACCTGAGAAATGACACAGAAATCCCTGCTGCAGGAAAGGGAGACTAACAGAGCAAACTTCAGCCTTGCTGAACTGCTCCCCTGTGTCTCCTCTATAGTTGAGGAGGGAAGAGCTTCTCTCCAAGGGTGTTGCTCAGAAGCAAAACCAAGCTGTTGGTCTGAAGCCTTCCCTAACCTCTTTTTCAATTAACTAGAGAGGCATTTAGCGAAATTAGCCTTCTCAGGCTTAAGTTAACCTTTTGATGGTAGCACTCAAGGTCTAAAATGATGCAAGATTGTCCTTTTCATCATTTGCTGTTAGCAGAGAGTAATAACAGACATTTGAGAAGCTGGTCACAATTGTGATGTGTAATTTCACTGAAACGAGCCTAAGGAATGATTTTTACAGTGGTTTCATGATTGCAGGTCTATTAGAATCATCAGGAACATTATTACAGGTATATTATTAGCTAATAGGTTGTTTAGCTCCATTGATTAAAACTATAGTAGGGCTTGATGGTTGGAAGCTGAAACTTGACAAGCAATACATACTTTTTTCTAAGAGCGAGGAAATTAACTGGAGCTACATAAAAGATATTTAGCTTTTTTTTTTTTTTTTTTTTTCTCCTCTCCATACTCCTGCATTGAGATTAGATGGGAGGGAATTCTTTTCTAAGTGCTTGTTTAGCACCTGCCTATTTGACATAGGAATTAATTCCAGGAAATTTAGCACAGACCTGCTAAACAAGCAGCTGCGCTTGCGATCACGATAGCTTTCCAAGTGTTTCCAGAGTTTGTGAATCCTTCTCTCTTTCTTTTACCTCTAAATATTTAAACAGGTTTACATAGTTGCAGTTGAAAAACAGAAAAATCTAAGCGATGCACACAATCACTCTTTGAAAACTGCCAACTCTGCAGAAGAAAGCTACCGAGAGACAGCGTCTTCGGTCAGTGGGCTCCTAGAACTGGTTCAGGCAGACCTGGGAACCCTGAGCAAGCTCTGGCTTGCGGCACTCCAGGATTTTGCTCTCTTAACTTTGCCTTCAGAATATGCATCTCAATTACCTGCTGAAGGTAGGAAGACAAATAAATTGTATTTTCATGGATCACTTGCAAATACTTGTCATAATATCCAAGCTGACTTGAGGATGTAAATTATACAGTGAATAGGGCACATACTTGTGTACCTGTCAAAAGATAATGACTGCTTTTGAGAACAGTTTTCACTGGTAGGAAAACACTGTTTGGTAATTTTTTTTTTTTTGTTTTAGATTTCTATGGCTTAAAAAGGACGAGATAATTGTATTGTATTCTGTCCAAATAAAGTGTCCTCTCTATCCTGAATTTTTGATTTTGTATGCTTTTTAGAAAAGGACATAAAATACAGTAAACATCATTCCAATAAGAAGATGAATCTCAGCTATCTAAGAGTGAGAAATTATTGTCATTGAAAATAAATCACGCCCTTGAAACTGTAAATTCTTCTCCTGTAGGTGGTACATTTTATACAGCAGAGACAATCGAAAGTGCCAGACCTCATTACTACAACTCCTGGGCACTAATACTTTATGCTGCAGCATTATGGCTTACCAGCACGGGTTTTATCGTTGCTGATCCAGATGAAGGAGTAACAAACCTTTCCAGACCTGTCACCCCAACTACAATGTGTCAAGATTCTTCTTCCAGACCCTTGGTGAAATCTCCTGAGGATGTTAATACCGACAGGTTTCATCTGATTCTGGGTTAGTGAGCACGTAATTTCTCTAAATGTTGTAAGGCAAAAAGTCATTTTAATAGTTATAGGTTTTACCTGTTGGTAAAGAAATATTTAATTCTCCATGCCTGACTGCATTGTTGAATATTGAATCTCTTTGAAAAGCATATAGTCAGAAGAATTTTAAATCCTAATGACAAAATTGTGTGTTTTCCCAACTGGACTTTTTAAAAAAAAAGAAAAAAAAATGCAGTGTAAGCTGAGTCTCAATTCACTGCTTTGCCCATGAACACGCATCTTCAGGCTTAGGCATAGATCTGATTTTGGTTGTAGCCCTGCAGTTGCAGAGCGCTTCACAGAAGTTACACTGTTTCACATAAAACTCTGTTCGAGCTCCTTAACTGCTACTTTGATCTCTCTTTTGTATCCTTGTTTTGTTCTTGAAATTAATTTATATGACCCAGATACATATGACTCTTCTTTTGAATCACAGAAATGTCTTCTCTTGTATACAAGCCAGCTTCCCTTTTTAACTCTGTTGCTTTCAATGCAAAGTGGGCTTTTAAGACAGAACAAACTTATTCGCCCTCCTTGTCCTACTTTGTTAGTGCCTTAAGTTTTATGTACTTTACCAAGGACACAGTCTTTATTCTTTATTCCATTTCTGAAGTTGTTCCTCTTGTTCATTTTTCACTTTATACAGAGAAACCTGAAGGACTTTAAAAAGAGACACCTTTTTTTGGTAGTGCAACAGTATTTTAATGTAGATTGATTAGTGTCTCAAGTCATTCCACACTGTGAAACTGTATCCTTATAACTAGAATGAGAATATGCTTCACAGAACATGGAGTTTCTCTTCAGCACCAAAGAAGATAATTTAGAGTGCTGAAACCTCGGAAAGAAGCAATTGTTTTTACTTGATCTAGGATTTGCAAGCATTGGGTTTCTGTAGTATATTTTTAGTTGGTAGTCCAGTTATGGTAAGCATATGGTTAGCTGCAATCTTTTGAATTTTTGCCAAGTGAGATGCTAAGTCTCAGCCTGTGTCTCTGAGCTATTTCTACTTTCTCTGTCATTTCACTCTATTACAGAAATCAGTATGGTTAGGCAGGTATTTTGCTATACAGTTGTTATGAATTGCCACCTATTTTTTGGGGCCTGGGGCTCACTGTTTTGCTCTGAAGTTGCTTGTGGAGTTTGTTTGTTTTGTTTTTATTATTTGTTTGTTTTTTGGTAATAGGTGGTTATAATCATTTCTTACACTGCCTAAAAGCAGAAGTCCTTTCATTGTTGTGTTGGAAATAGAGCTTTTGCTCCAAATGTTCACAGTAGGAGATCAATTGACTGGTGCAAATAAAGTTCACATTATTTTCATGTCTGTTCACATGACAACTTATGAAACTACTTTTTAAATGTTTAAGATGATTTTTTTTCTGACATTTACAGGAATTAGCGTGGAATTTCTTTGCTCCCCTCGGTCAGATGCAGCAATGGAGAACATTGTGGCCTGCTTACATGCTCTACAAGCACTCTTTGATGTTCCGTGGCCAAGGTCTAAAATAGGTGCTGATCAGGTAACAGTAATGAAAACCCCAAGCAGAAGTCCAGGGATTTGGGAAGAGGCTTTCTGTCTCTTAAAGCCCTCAAAGCCCAYGAGGGTTATTTATCCCTTGCTGCCTTATGGCAGTGGACAAAGCCAATCTTCCCCAAATCACCTTTTCCATTCAGTGACTAAACAGCATGCTGCTGTGATAGAGCAAGTGAGTGTGAGTTTTTGGTTGGTAATGAGTATAGTATCTGATGATCAGTTTCTTTGCATCAAAAACAGTCCTGTTTATTACAGAGGAAAATTATGTGGTCTGTTCATGGCACAGAAAGGTTGTCTTAAGTACATTCCATTTTGTTTTCAGTTTGTCCTCAGTATAATCTTTGCTTACTTGTAGCATGTGTGCTTTATGCCTGCTGCGTATCAAAAGAAAAAAACTTTATGTGTATCTGCTGATATTTATGATTTTTAGGCAGAATTGACTTACAACTCTGGAAATTTGTTTGAAAAGGAAACTTAAGTATATATAAATGAAAACAGTTATGCAGAAAAGTCTTAGTCTTCTAAGAAGTCTGAAGTTTTCTATTTTCCAATTCCTCATTTAAAACAAGCAATTACTTGAGTTTTAGAATCATATTTCATATGCAGAGCTGTCTTATTTTTCTTCATTCTATCAATCAGAATTCATATGTTATGCAGTATGTATTATGTACATACCTGTATTTAAATAATGTCAGTTTCAATAATGTTTAAGTTTCACTAATTTGTTAGTTCCAGTAATGTTTCGGTTTCATTAGTCAAACTACATTTAGTGGAATATCTACATTACATTTTTATTTTCTTTTTGTTCCTATGGTTAAAATTCAATAGTTTAAAAAATTTAATATCATGAGGAAAAAAATGTTGTCGACACAACCTCTTCTCTTCAAAAGCTTCTAAGAGTTATTCAGAAAATTCAGGAACAGAAAATTTGGTATTCAAATTGAGTCTTCAGTGCTTGTGAAAGCTCACTGCCTTTGTGTAAAAATAAATAGGATTCCTTAGCTTTCAAAATTAGATGAAGGGAAGAGTGACAGCAAATATATGTATATATATTTWAACTTAATATTCTACCAGATACAAGCAATATAAAAGTTGTTTTGTAGCATTGAGTACTCRCTTATCTGAAAATGAAAAATTCAGTAAATATGTAAAAAGTGAGGGGATCCTTAATAATTCTAAGTTTCTCCTGGGTAAATATCTGCCATGTGATACCATGTTCCAGTACGCTAAAGTATCCATTTCTATCAGTATGTTCTCTTTTTTGAAGAGTTAGGCAGAAAGGGCTCTTTTCCTTACTTTGAGCCTTTGACGTCGTTAGGAGAAGACAGCATTAAGGAATAATTTTACTCTGGACGCTGTCCCTGCTGTTCAGCGGAGGAGCACGCGGTGACTTATGTGCTTTAGCCAGGCCCAGACTTGCAGAGGGAGGAGGSAACGGGAGCACAGCGCAGAACCTGGGTTGCTGGTGGAGGGTAGGGAGGCCGGGGAGGTTGTTCAGGAAGGACTGGTCATCTCGATACCTGGGAGCCAGGCCAGGGCACAATTCCAGAACACAGAGGTGGCAATTCCAGGGAATGTGTCRTTAGTCATGGTTCAAGGGCTGGCGATTCAGTCAGTGGCACCAGATTCAGTGACGAGGAGATCACGGGGGACCTCGTCCAGGACAGGGTTGTTGGTTGCAAGGGAAGCTGCTTTAGGGACAGGCCGGGGTAGAACTGGAGTTTAAGACAGTGACCGTAAACGCAAGAGAACTGCAGTGCCRTGTTGTCAGCACTCCTCAACCTGACGTATGGGAAAGGACGAGAGCCGTTAGGAAAAGCTCTATTACATAAAGCGGCGAGGAGAAGGCAAATGCATGTTCTTGATATTTTTTTTTCTCTCCATCCCTTTTTCTTTTTGAGAAGATTCTACTTTTTTTTTGGTTTCATAAATTAGTTGTTGCTTTCTTTTTGTAGAGATTTGAGGAATATCTCCTGTTTCTAGGAGCTAAAGTATCTATGGAAAACACACTTGTGATTGTATCAACAGTACTGTGCTCCTTAGTGAGACTGAATCATAGTGTTGGTTTTAATGAAGGTTAATTGTTGGGCTGTGAATGCCTGTTTCTAAAAATTTTGCATCCCAAGGGGTTATATTAAGCATTTTTCTTACTGTAGGAGCTGGGTGTAGAGCTGTTGAATGTTTTGCATCGCCTGATACTGACCAGAGAATCGCCTGACATTCAGCTTGCTGCCCTTGAAGTGGTTCGACTCATTCTTTTTGCAGCTCAGGAACATGTGAAAGAAAAACGCAGAAGTGCAGAAGGTACAATCATGTACAAGGGGCTAAATGCATCTTACTAGGGGTAAAGACAATTCTCTCTTGGAAAAGGGCAATTTGAAAGCGATATTCAGAAGTGTTTCTTAACCTGAGTGTTTCACAGCTCGGCACTAATTGTGGTTTATGTATTTTCCAGGTGTCTGGCTTAAGAAATTGGGGCGATATTATAGATAGCCCATGGTTTTGGAGGTGGCTGGAGGGGATGAACAGAGGAGAAAGTGAAGACAGGAAAGCTGAGGAAACTGCAGTGGGAAGAATCACAGGGAAAAGAAGGGAGAAATCCTAGGGGGGAAAAAAGAAGGGGGGATTAATATCAGTAGTGCAAAAAAAAGAGTGTTAGCACCCATAGTTGTTGCACAGCAGGCTCTACTAATTCCTCTAAAAAAATTGCAGGGTGTGTGTGGAAATAATCTTTACAGCAGGAGGAGTTATATTAGCATGGTACCTCATAAGTTTTAATTCTAAAGCAATTGCAAACACTGCATAGTTTGCCCATTCAGAAGGATGGGTGTCCCCGTAGGAGTTAGGAACACTCTGTGTTTGTGTGTGTGCCCTGTGTATATTTGTCAAGATGATYGTTTGATGGTGAAACAGTTCTATGATGAAAACTTTTTGGAAGCAAAATACAGTTTTCTGATTTCTGTCATGTTTCATCTTTTTTTGTTGTAGTTGATGATGGTGCTGCAGAAAAGGAAACCTTGCCAGAATTTGGAGAAGGCAAAGATACAGGAGGACTGGTGCCTGGGAAATCATTAGTCTTTGCAACACTGGAGTTGTGTGTTTGTATTCTCGTCAGACAGCTTCCCCAGCTCAACCCTAAATTAACTTGTAGCCCTGCAGTTCAATCTGGAAAACATCAGTTATTGTCAGAGGATGGAAGCAGACTGGTAGCAGCAGCATTAGTTATCCTCTCTGATGTCCCTGCGATCTGTTCTCCTGAAGGTATGCAGTTTTATCACAAGGAAAGAGGAAAAGTTTAAAAAAAAAAAAAAAAAAAAATGGGGCTCATCTGAACTCCTTGTTATTAACTCATTTTCTCAGCTGGAGGAATCTGACCAAGTTTGTTGATTTGCCTGTGACAATTTTCCCTTCTAATTACTTTTGTTACTGTCAGGTTATAAAACAAATCATTGAAGCAATTGAAAGTAGTTTTTGTTTTCCTCCCACACACAATTAACARATTAATTTTGTACTGGCAAGTATTCTAAACAGTATACAGTATCTGCTTGAATCTGCTATCTGGGAATTTATAAGGCAGTCATCAATTGAAATCAGAAGGCAAAGGTGTCATGTAGGTTTTACTGAAAGGCAACATTTGAAATGTTTTAAAGGGTTGATTTGTCAATTATTTGACTTTTATGTCTTTGACAGGCATCGTTTTGATGCGCTCCAAATTCTGTTAAGGGTTTTGATGCTGCTGTTTAGAGTTTTTTTGTTTTTTTTTTCTTTGTTTTTATTTTTAATATATTCGTGTGAATGATCCTTCAGTATTTATATATATACACTATAGAGCTTTTCTGTCTTACTCCTCTTTTTCCTCCTTAAGTATCTATTTTTTTTCTTCTCTCTTCTCTTGCTGTCATTGCAGGATGATTCTATGATTTCTTTTTTTCCATCTGTAGACCATTATATATTGGTTCAAAGCAGAAGGAATCAGGCACAGCATCATTTGGTTCTGAGGGCAGCTCTCTTGTAAGAAAAATGATCTGTGAGGTTTTGTCCTCCCTGTAGTACTTGTCTTCAACAGTTCCAGTTATTCCACAAACAACATCTCTTAGGATCAGAACAGATGCAACGTTTACACTAGAGAACCTAAGCGTTAGGTAACTGAAATGAACATCTGCTGTCTAGTCAGTTGGTAAGGAAGCATCTCCAAAGGCAACTCAGGTGATCAAAGGCAAGAGATATGCCTATGTGCAGATATTGCTTTTAGAGAATTGCCTCTTTTTTCCTTTAGTAGGAAACTGAAATTATAGTCCTGTGAATAGGTCTTATTTCAGGCACCTGTCATGATGCTTACACATAATAAAATTTATTAATAAATGATATTCTTGAACTCTGTTTCCTACTAGATTCAAGCAGTCAGTTTTTAGATATTTGAGTGTTTAAATTAGAAGATAATGATTCTGAGGTTCAGGAGAGATTTACACATAGGTCAGAGGTCCAYTATTAACAGATCTCTAAAGAATATAGTACAAATATATTAAATCTCAAACATAAGCATTTTGCTGAATAAGGAAGGACTTTGTGCTTTGCTGAATCAAAATTTGAGTTGAAAGAAAGCTATAAGTATGCAGAATTTTAGATTGTCTCCAACATGAGCTGTACTCCTATTGTGCCCAAAGACATGGGAATATGCAAAACTGCTTTTCCTTCTTGTTCCTGGGATTATTATAGACAGTACCTTGTTCTGGCATCTCAGCTGCCAGATGTTCAGGGACAGATGAAGGCTTCTTAAATAGACTGAGGGATCACCCGCCTGTCTTCCTAGGTCTCCTCTTTTCCMAAATGTTTGTTTGACATTGCTGCTATAATCCTGGGTATGCCTTATACCTGGCTGCCTTCTGAGAGCCTCCTGGTAGCCTTGCTAAATTCTTTAGTGATTTCCTGGAGCAATGAGATCCTTACCTAAATACACATCATGCTGGAGAAGTATTTCTTCTTACTGGTTTTGAAATTGCTACCTGTTAATTTTCTTCATGATCTTGTTTTCCCTGCAGAACATGCTCAGATGCTCATAATTTGTTTTCCACCGTTCGGTAGTTTGTATGCTTTAATGATTTCTCAACTCTTAATGCTTCTCGGTGCTTCTTGTCTTGATGTCTCTCTCTGAATCTCAAGTAAATATGCACTTTCAGTAATACAACCTGCAAGGCAAAGATGCATTTGCTTTTTAGTATAAAAGAGGAAAAGTTTAACATCACTTAAGCAGTCTGGCTGCAAGTTTGGTGTTGTAAGTCACGTGATATTTGAAGCTTTTTTTCCAAGTTACTAGTGTATATGTTCCCACTAATAATTAAAATGATAAATGATGAATAAAAGAGAGAACCTCAAGAAAAACACTTCAATTTTTTTAATGTCAAAGGTGCCTGGATGTTTTCACTTGTGTGATGCCCATTTGCTTGTTTTTCAGGCAGCGTTTCCGTCCTTCCTACTCTCTTGTACCTGATAATCGGCGTGCTGAAGGAAACGGCGGTGCGGGCGCGCGGCGCCCACCTCGCTCTGCCCGCGGCCGCCGCGCTGCAGGCCCTCAAGGCGCTCCTGGCTTCGCCCATGGCTCGGGCCGAGAAGAGTCGGGCTGCTTGGACGCAGCTTCTGCGCAGCGCTCTGGTCACCGTGCTCGACTGCTGGGACCGAAGTAAGCCCTGATTTCACTGTGCCTCTGTTCAGAAAACCCAACRCTATTGGGTTGAAAGGTTGTGGGTTTAGGGCAATTCCATGCAAACCTAAAAGGCTAATATTTCAGGTGCAGAAAAATTAGCTAAATGCTTAATTAAAGAGATCTTGATGTCTGCAGAAGAAATACATTCTATTCCTTGGTCCAAACATAGTAGTATTCAGCACAACTGTGGTTGCTTTGTCCGCAATCTATATGCTAGCTGTAGTAGGAAACAGTCTCTTCATCATTCGCAGCACAAATGAAGATTTTTATAGTTCTTTCATGGATGATGCTTCCTTGTAATTTGTTTGCTAACAGCTGGTTTGAAGATGTAGTTCTATGACAACTGAAAATATGGATTGTGAGACCATTTTCTAAAGCTTTCCAGTGAAACAATATGGTTTTGAAGGGCGCTTAAAGAAAAAATAATTATCTGGATCTGCTGCAAAATTCAACAAAATGCAGAATTACAGTATCATCCCCAAGATAATTCATGCAGTTGTTTTTTGTCCTTGGCTATTAAGTGGGTTCTAAAATCACATTCAGCTCTCTGTTTAGTTCACACACTAGCATTTCATTCCTCAACTCTCCCTTTTCAATTTCCGAAAAGGTATCTCTTCCCTGCAATAACCCTACCAAACAGAATTATATGGTTTAAGTAGCTTTCTTTCATGTGTATAGGAAAATTTAATTTAAGAGATCTTCCAGGTTAATGAAATTTAGCTCGAGTTCAGGATAATGATGCAGAAATGCACCAGCGTGTATGCATGTACGTGTGAGTATGCTGTATTAAATGATATTTGGTTTTTGAAAGTAATTGATATTTTATGTGACTAAGAAATGCTAAAGCATCTTTTAAAAAGTGTTAATCCACATAAAGTTCCAAGTCTCAAATCAGTAAAATCTTTTTCTTTAAAGCATTCTGTATGCATGAAAGCATAGCCTTTCTTATAATTATTTTGTATATATCTTTATCTACTTGGGACATATTGTARTGTGTATTAATTCTGAGAGGACCAAGTCCCTTTGGCAGTCTTACGTTTTATGTTGTTTGGTTATAACAGCTCTCTGCCAACCCCAGTTAAACATTGATCATGTCAGCCTGGCTGTAAGAGTAACAGTCTGTCTTAACCACCGTGTCTTCTTTAGAGTAGTAAGCTTAAACTGCCGCAAAAAAGAATTGTCTTGGCCAAGCACCTTCTTTGGCTTCAAGCAGGGAAGCCTGGMTCTTTAGATATCAGTAGCTATAGAKAGAGATACTTTATTTTTTTCATCATGGTATATTTAGTTGATTCAAAACTAAAATATTTTTTCAAGTTTAATCTCTTCTTCTAAGAGGGAATAGAAGAGCGATGGAGTGGTACTTTTCCCTAAGTTGCTTTTCCTTAAGGCCATCTGGGAGCATTGTCTAAAGCAATTACCAATGTGAAGCTCTGTAATCACAAMTATAAATTAGGGATTTCTTAGAATATGTGGCAAGCTTCCTACCTCCTGGATTTCCCCGAAYGTGCCTGCCACGTCTTGTGCAAGCTGCTTTCCTGGCCAGCAGGGCCCTGCTGCACGCGGAGCGTTCAGGCTGCTGTCCTGCACAACACGCACTTGTCCCTCAATTCGGCCAGCTGCTCTGTCTACATTTTCCTTCTGTGACCCACATCTAATGTGAATGCCTCGTGTTCTTCTTTCACCTCCCTCAGGTGTAACTGCTTTTAAAAAGTGTGCTGTGTATTGGTCATATTTGTCTTGAACTTTGCTTTCAATAAAATGAAAGCAAGTAGTTTCTTCCTGTATGATTTGTATTGCCTTTATGATTTCTTTCACTTAAGCTCTAAATTCTGGTTTGTTACTGGAGCATTGTTATTGCAAACTGAAAAACGATAACCTCAATCATATCAAAATAACTCATGCTCTTAATACAAATTTTATATAGTTGCCAAAATCGAGTGTTGTACAGTGCATGGGCATGCCAGTATGTGAAAAGGGGGGTTTGCCGAGACCAAGGCCTTTCCCTTTGCCCCCTTTGTGAGAGCTGGCTGTGTAGCTGTACTGTCGCTGCCGAGCTAACCGCCGCGCGCTCTGTCGGCAGCAGAGGGGCAGCCCCTCGACGAGGGCAGCCTGCTCGCGGCGCTCACCCTCTTCGGCGTCTCGGCCAGCCCCGACGTGGCCGCCGCCGAGGGCCTGCAGAAGCGCTGCGTGGACAAGTTCAAAGCGGCTCTGGACTCCAAAGACCCTGTGGTAAGTGCTAGTCCCACCGCAAGAATATTTCTTTGAACAGCGTGATAAATGTGTGTGAGCTCGTTCTCTGTTCAGTTGTTTCTTTGGCCCTATGTGTTGAGCACACTTAACGCTGTCCCGTATAGATCTGCTCTGTTTAAAGTGCAGTTTAAACAATCCGGCAGGAACATACTCACCAGTGATATTTTTTCAGGCACTTGTTTCGTTTTATCTGTTCATTTTATCTTCCAAAAATAGATGCTATTTATTTGCTTAGAAGTCCCTAAGCTGCAGGAACTGCTTCTCTGGGAGCCGGGGAACATGTTGAGGAAGTAGCACCGCGTAACTTCTTCCTTGGGCATCCTCTGCTGGATCCTGCTGCACACCCTATAGGACTGGATTAATGTTTGTTATAACCTGACATTTTTATGTAGTAGCTTTAGGCTGTAGTACCAAAGGTTGTATGTTGTTATTCTTCACCTAAAAGAATTGCGTACCAGAAAGCAACCAAGCAAACGGCAACAACAACAAACTATGTTTATTCTTACAGTAAATGAAACACTGTTTACAGAGGTTGGAACTTGTTCAAAGTCCAACTCTGSAAATAACATGCAGTAGATTTTGTACTTTACTGATATGAAAATTCACTGGAAACTTTTTTTTTGCATCTTCTCTCAATACATTCATGCAGTGTCAAAGGAAAAAAGTTACTTTTAACTTGATAAATTATGTGTAAAAATACATTTTTACAAAAAAAAAAAAAAGAATGGTATTATAAATGTTGGTTTCCACTGACAGGAAACACAAAATGCCAAATATGACTGCAAGAAAATGATAGTAGCATACATGATGCATTTGCAAATGTTATGTGAGTGTTTAAAGTATCTGCCTTTCGGAAATCCTGCAGGCACTTAACKCTCACCTTCCAATGACACACATAAGCTGCTTAAGTCACTTGAGGCATTTTAAAACTCTGCTTATCGTGTGACAGAGGCACGAATTGCATCTTAAGCACAGTCAAGTTTRTTTTCATAGMTTTATTTTTCAAAACAGTGTTAAGATATAATCTTCACACAAAGAAGACTTTTTTTTTTAGTTAACTGGAACATCTAGGAAGATGTAGGACTCAGTGGAAAGAAATAAATAAGAAGTATGATCTCATTTCTGTAAATATCTTGATTACTAGTTATAATTTGTTAGTAGCCTGTGACCTGATGARCTTTCAAGTTGAGGCACATTTTTCCCCCTCTAAAATTTTAGCGGACAAGCTGTGACTTTTAAAACACTCTGACTTTTATTTTGGTGTGCAACTCTTAGTAACTGCAAATTTGATTTTCCTTTTAGGTCCAGCATAAATGCTACCAGCTGCTGCACTCCATCTTTCAGCATCCAAACAAAGCTGTGTCATATCCTTATATTCATTCTTTAGCATCATCCATTGTGGGCAAATTGCAGGAAGCAGAAAAAGCAAAGCCTGAGAATGCTGCCGAACTTCAGGTGGTTCAGGAGGGCATCAAGCTGATGATCACTCTCACGGCTGCAGCTGAGGAAGAGCACCGTAAGTACTCGCCTCACTAGTACTGACAGTGTGAGACATGCTGCAACTTGCCACAGGTAATCCGTGAAAAAAATCCCCCTGGGAAATCCAGTCCTRAGCAATAAATAGCTAACAAAACAAAACATAACAAAGTAATAAAACTGTGCTTTTACTGTATAGTTCAAATAACTCTGAAGATTGCTACTTTATACTTTGTGTTAAATGTTAATTTGGTTCATGAGAGGTAATTACTTGTAGCTAGTACTTGAAGCTGCTTTTGAAAAGCCTTTTTTTTTTTTTTTTTGAACATTTATAGGCGCTCATTTGGTGGCCTGCCTTCTGCCCATCCTTATTTCCTTTCTTCTGGATGAAAATGCCCTAGCATCTGCTACAAACTCAGCAAAATACCTACATGAGTTTGCTTTGCAAAATCTGATGCAGATCGGTCCACAGTACTCAGTGGTCTTCAAAAAACTAATAGCCTCCTCTCCAACTATGAAAGCCAGGCTGGAATCTGCTGTAAAGGGCAATCAGGAAAGCATCAAAGTGAAGACTGCTAAACATGGGAAGAATCCTGGGAAAAGTTCAAGCATCCAGCTGAAGACCAACTTTCTTTGAAGTCTCATACTGTCATTTTATGCACTTTGATATTGACAGCAAAAAAATGTCCCTTTTCATTTCTAATCAGAGTAGGAAAAGTTGATCTTGCATATAGTTGAGTTTGCATTGAGTCACCTTGGAAGTTTTGAGGAGAAATCCAATCTCTGGATAACTTGTTGGTGACTTCCAAACATCTTTAAATACTGTATATAAAATTTATCAGAGGTTATCTAATCTGTATTTTTGGATTATTTTGTATTAAAATACCAGGAATACATGCCTATATTAAAAACAACACAAAACAAAAAAAACCCTATAATAATGGTAGATAAATTTTAGGAGCAGCCCATACTTGTTCATTAAGTAAAATTTTTTTTTGTTTTAAATCAGTGTATATCAAAATAAGTTAGTCTGGGCTTTGAATTTAACTGGGATATAAATTTACTTGCAGGCTGTAATCTATCCTGATTAATAATGTAACATTCTGCATTAAGTAAATTGTAAGATTGTAAGCCTTACTATCAATTACTATTGATCTCAAAAAAAAAAAATCAGCTCAGTAAATATAATATTGATAGCTTTAATTCCAGTAGCTTTTTGAGCTGGCCACAATTCCCAGATGCTGTGAGATGCAACTCGGTGGCGCTCCTTCCGCGAGGCCCGGGAGAGCTTTCCGTGGTGGGAGCGCTGGGCACGCGGAGCGGGTGCCTGGCTTGGGCCTGCTGCTTGGCCTAGTCTCACCTTGCAGGATACTCASTTGTGTTAACCCTGTGTTACGCTAGCCGGGCAATTGAAGCTCACATATCTTGTCCAAGATGGGAGAGCAATTTTAATATACTGTGCCTCTGATTCAGACGTCTGTTATATCTGGATGTATGTTCCCTGATCTTTAGATGATCGGTTATATATACATGTAAGTCTCTCTAATATACATATCTCTACAACAAGAGAAGGCAATATTTGAAGTCAGCTTGTCTTGTGTTAAATGAAGTGCAACAAACTCATATTAAGGAGTATTAAATTATCACTTTTTATCAAGGAACATTTTAATATAGAAAAATAATAAAAATGCAATGGCTATGAAGTATTTTCTACATATAGTGTATTGACTTCTTTCTTAATACCAGTGTTACCTAAGCCGAACACTGTCAAACTGAGGATAGTATTTCTTTGTTCTTTGCTGTAACTTAATTAGGTGAGGGAGGAAAAAAAAAATGAAGAAATAATTAAAAAAAAAAAAAAAGGTATTAGCAGAACTGAGAAACACACTGTGACTCAGGAAGTGTGATGTACTGTATTTTATTATAAGTTTTGTATATAAATATAATTGTAAATTGTACAGAATTAACCATCTGACCAAAGTTCTAACAATTCATTTTTCTAATTTGCATAAATAAAGCTAATTTTCTTCACTTAAGGTTTGTTTTAGCTGTTTTCCGCAATAGCAGGGGAGTTCTAAGGACATCTGTAAGGGAAGGGCTGCCCCAAGGAAACTCCTAAGGAATGCGGGATCTGGGTGTGATGCACCCAGCGCTGTGACTCAGCAGTGGATTCCCTGTTCCATAAAGCACAAGAGGAGAAGTAAGTATCAAGGAGATAGGCTTTTTATATGTAAATGCCTGTTCTGTGCCAAATGCGGTGTAGCGTAAGCATGGAAGATGGCCGAGGGGCCTTCCATCTTTCCCTGGAGAAGCCAAAGCTGCTCCTTGCACCCTTCTACAGCAGCCAGCAGAAATCAGTTCTTGTTGGCTGTGTCAAACTGGAGTTTCCCCATCTTTGCCAAAGAGTGATCTCAATCTCATCAGTCCTTTCTCCACCCATTACTTTCCCCCCCACAGTTGTTTGTTGTACTGTGTATGCTCTTTAAGAGAAGAGGTTATCTAGGACATTTTTGGAAAACAGAAAGCTTCAAATTTTTAAATAAAACAAGTATCATGTTACTATGAAATTGGTTAAAAATGTTGCTGAGAAAGTTAGCTGCTACAGTAGGTAGTGCATGTAATCATTCATGTAATTTTATAAGAACAGCGTTCATCTTTTTCCACTTTTTTTTAATGTTGATTTGATCAAGTTATATTATCTTACTTTGCTCGAAAGCATTTCAGAAACATGTTTGTGTTGCATGAGCAGCAAGTAAAGCTCCTCCAGGCCCGCAGTCAAAGCTATAAAAGCCCTGGATTTCTCCAAGAATTTCACTGCAGTGGGCAGTATCTAACTGAACCACACTGAGAGGCACCACACTCAGCGATTTCCTGGCACTGCTCTTCATCAAGCCTTGCAGCCACGGGAGGAAAAGGCTCCTTTTCAACAGATCTGTGTATTCTAAATAGAAACAAAAAAGAAGATTCTGCAAATAGAGAACCATTGCTAATTCCTAATGTCTGAAAATTAGGTCATATGCATGGCCTTAATTCATTAGGATAATTTATCCACATAGCCAGTAAAAATACCTTTGTGCTGATTTTGTGCTTTGTTATTTACTTAAAACCACAAGCTCCATCATGCAAGTATAAATGAATCTGTTACAGGAAGGATCTTGTTTCCTTTATAAGAAGAATTTAGTTATAGGGTATCAGGTATCTTTGGTGCAGTTATGTTTGTTTAACAAACAAACAAAAAACTTGGATAAATGACCTTTTTTTTCCTGAGGAAATAAGTAGGGGCACCAAGTGGCGTTGGTTTCCATGCCCTGCTCCGTGCCGGGTGCTGGCTGCAGGCAGCTTGTGTCTGGCTTCCACCCCTSTGCCCCGGAGCCTCCCTGTTACCGCTGCTGCTTCCCGTGCCCCAGGCCTCCTCGCTGAGTGTATTTCGCACGTGAATAACAGTTTCACCAAATTCTTCTTCCCAGTAGAGCATGGGCCCTGTGTGCAGTTTTATTTTACACGATGCTCCCATGGTTTCTTCAAAACGTTTGATGCTTTTTTGCAACACAAGGCCCTGGCTACGTCTAACCGTACCCAGAGAGAGGGGTGCCTCACAGGAGGTTGTGTTTAACTGCTATGCAGAAACAGTTTGCAGGCAGCCTTTGTTTACTGAAACAGAACAGCGTTACACACTCGGACTGCAGCGACCTTTAACTGCATCTGGAGTCTGTAGCGCTCCATCTGAATAAGCAGCATTTATTTTGACTAGAGGACTCAACCTGGCACCTTCTCGGGGTAGCAGTCGCCTTCAGACTGAGGGGAGCTCCCGCCAAGCAATGCAGGTAACACCAGAAAAGAGGATTAACAAATGTGCAGGAAGCACATTTTATTTATAACATTACTAATATTTATGACATTTTATTTATAACATAGAACATTTTATTTATAGAAGTCGGTTACTTGTAATTTCTCAAGGGATGTTTTTCCAGAACTGCCCCAGCCTTGCAATTGCAGCAAGGTGGATCTAGGCTGAGCACTCGGCTCTGCAACTCATCCAAAGCACCAGCAGTGCTGCCCAGCAGGGATGGGGCAGCTCCCTCAATGGAATTGCCATCCAGTTTCAAACTGAGTGCAGCTGGACATACTTGTGGCAATAACTAGGTATGAAAAGTCACTGTGAATGGTGAAATTAAGCCAGCCAGAATCTCTTCTCAAACTTCATCCCTRGTCCTGGTGTTAGGTACAGACTTGCTTGGATAAGCATATTTTCAGCTTCCTGAAATAGAAGTCTGCTTGATTAGTAGAAGAGGTTTCTCCTCTAAAAACAAAACTGATTCTTAACTGATTTAGCAGTAGTCTAAATCTGGCAATRCCTCTTTAAATTAGAGGTATTTCAATTACTAATAAAATAACTAAATTTATTTTAAAAAACATGTAAATATATACTAATGAACTTATGCTTTCTTCCAGGGGAAAATTTGGTCAGCAATGCTTCAAGTAAAGCAAAAAAGTAAGGAGCAAATAACACTATTTGTTCAGTCTTTGGCAAAAGATGGAGCAGGGCGGTTTGTGGGGACTGTTGCTTGTTTGTTTGTTCTTTGTCCTGCTTCTGTGCTCAGCAGTGTCAGGAAGAGCTGCTCTCTCTGCCTCTGCTCAGAGGCCTCCATTCGGTGGCTTCCACAGACAMTGCTTTTTACAGGACTAAATCGTACAGCCTGATTATGCACTTGGCCAAGTACAGTTTATCTTAAAGCATAGAAATAATGAGAATAACTGTTGAATTACAACCTCTGACCTTTAAAAATAGCCAATAAAATAAAGTTAGGCAGCTGAGTCTTAAAAGACAGATGAAGATTTGACTGCATCTCTCTGTCCTTAATAATGTTCTCAGCTCTTGCTGCAGATATTTTTCACCCAGGACTGCAACTCAGTGAGCTAATGCCTATAACAAACAGCTCTTTTTACATATTCTGGCCAAGCTATTTAATGACAGCTGGATATAGCTGCAAGGATAGAAAGAAAACAAATGAAGGAAACATGTTTTAGCAGGTATTACACCTCTTACCTGCATCTTGTATATTTTTAGTGTTTAATATTGAAATACAGAGTAAAGATGCATTTAATGTGCTGTTGTCCTTGTAAAACAATACTGAAGATGCCACTGCTGTGCCCACAGCCTCTCTGCAATGTTGGGTAGTGCTCCCTCTGTTTTTGAGGGGCAGTTGATTTTTTTTTTCTTCAGATGTGCTCTGGAGAATAAATTATTTATTACATACAACAATGAAAGGGGAAGTGACTTCTAAATATAGCAGAAGTAGAGCTGAAGATTCCTCTGAGAAACAGGTCAAAGCACAAGCAGGCTTCCAAAACTTGTCTGGCTCTGGTAGCTTAGCCCAAGCTCATTTACCTTGCAACTGAACAGAAAGGTTGCCCCATGGTCCTGCTCCCACTTCTATAGTCTCAATCACCTGACATGCAGATTTGGAGTCTAGTGTTGAATGTGGCATCTGCTCCCTTCATCGGTGCTTGTACTCGAGCTGCTTAACAGCAGCCCTCGCAGGAGAATGCAGGTTGTGAGGATGAGGACTGGGTTCAGCTGGACCCTTTTCTTTATCTGTATTATTTACATGTGCCAATTTGACCAGGAAAATGCACAGAAACACCTGGTATTTATATATGCAAAGAGGTTTGCAAATGAAAACAGTCTCTTGGTGGAAATTGCTGTTAAGAAGCTGAAACGGTGATGAAAAAGATTCATAAAATTATATTTTAAGCTACTGTATCTCATGAACTGCAATTGCTCATCCTAAAACTGCAAAAATAAATTTTGAAGTTCATATATTAAAACCCCTGTATATTCTCTCTCCAACAATGACATGCAAAGCGGATAAAGATTCCTTTTTGCTACCACTGTGAAATATTGTAAGTTTTTATTTTAACCCTCTCTGGAAAAGATTTTGATTATAGGATTCCTGTCAGCATTTTCTCTACCTTGTGTCTTTTTATCCTTTCCTGCCAAAAAAAAAAGAGAAGGTTTTGTACGAGACATTTGTTTTCAGTAAAAGTACAAGTCTCAGAGGTTCTGGAAACAATTCTGAT